GAGTTGTTTTATAGCAAAGAAACTAACATAAAAAGATTAATAGAAGCTTTTTATGTTATATATATATATATATATATATATATATATATACCCCCTCTCTCTCTTGTCTCCTTTTTCTATTGGCTTTAGGTAGCCATGCTAACCTGCCATTAAAATGTCCTCACTATAAAGGAGAATACATTATATTTTGTAAAAAAAAAGTTTATATACATATTTCAGAATCCTTGTTTAGAGTAAAATAAAAAAAATGACTCAAATTAACATTTAGACAAATGATAACCTTACTCAAATCGAATGATATTTATGTTATTGTGAATACCATAATTCAGTGTTTCCCAAAGTGTGGTACGCGTACCCCCAGGGGTACGGGAACAGTTTAGCGGGGGTAAGCGTTATTATGTGAAATATCTTGCAACATCCAAAATTTTCATGTAATTTTTAACTTTTGTGCAATTTTTCTATGTATGTTTTTAAAATATGCATTCATTTTTTATTAGTGGTACACAGCGTTACGAAAAATTTAGAAAGGGTACACAAAAGTCATAAGTTTGGGAAAAACTGTCCTAACTTATAGACATTTTTAGGCAAATTCTAAAATTACAAATTTGTAGAGAATGGCCTTCGGCACCCAGATAAAATTTTGAATTTGCGAATATATCGGAATTTCGTTTTGTGCGTTTTCACATTATCTAGAAATGAAATGATATTGAGTTACTTTTTAATTGTTGTTTACCTGCGTACACCATTGTTTCAAGAGAGCTATTTGATGCAATTAAACAATCACTCCCATCAGTAACAAATAATATTTTATGAGAAAATGTTCATTGTTGCAAACTAATTTTAACAATAAGTAAAAAGCATTATGAGAATCATTTTGTATTTTGAATTCGTGGTAGAAGGTTGTGTTCGAAAATGGGTAAAAACTGTGAGACCTTAAATGATGAAGTAAACAAAAGCTGTTGTTCGATGATTAAAAATTGTAAGTCGAATTATTTAATTCCATTTTAAAATCCCATTTTAAAACTCTAAACTGTGAGGAATTATGAATTTCTTGATATGGAAATGACCTTAGATTACACAGTAAACAATAACTCGCAACGGATTGTTGACAGAAATGCCAACTGCTCTGGACAAGCCAAAATAATGTTTTTAAAAAAATGTAAATAACTACAAACTAAATTTTGCAAATATTTGACTATTTTTGCTTGTTTTTTAAGAGGTATAGCAAGACATGTTTACTATTAAGAGGTGAATTACAAAAGTCTACGAATTATTTAGAAATAGTGGCGGATAAAAATCTACTAAATTGAATTTATTAAACCAAGAATCACAATTGATAAACTACCAATTTAAAATATTTATTTGCTGACCGGAGCAAGTTGGCATCTCTGTGCTGAAGACGTCTGAGGCACGTCAATTATTGGTTTGACATAAGAAACAAATGACGTCTCCCAGACTTCTTCGTATGTCAATAGGTTAACGAGAAAGAAATATTATTTAAATACATATTGTTAATTACTAATGCATGCTAATTACTAAACTTACTACTACATATAATAATAACTAATACCTGCATAAACACAAAGTTACAAATAACATCTTTTTAGAGCAATGCTTTTAACGATTGTTAAAACTTGTCGAATTTTTAATCTATCGAAATATCGCATGGGAAAAATACAAAAATTGTAAATAAATGAAATAATAAATTTTAATAATGAGAATAATAAGTAACATCCTTTTACAACAGTATTTTTTAAAATAATTTCAAAGCATGTTTGATGTTTTTAATCTTACAAATTATCATGTAAGAAAAGTACAATATTTATAATTAAAATAAAATAATAAAATATAGTAATGTGCTTAACAAATATTAGAATAAACTAAACGTGCGAAGCTTAATCATAATAAAATTAAAAGTTGCTATGAGAGTTAAACTGTAATTTATTGCTAGTAACTCTATTGTTTGTTTTATAATTTCGTTAAATGTACAAACGTTAAAAATCAGATACCGTATTTTTTTATAATAAGTTTAACAATACATTTTTATAATAATTTCTGCATAAGTGAAAAAGTTTTCAATTTTGAGATCATATTCACACAACTTGAATTTACTTTTTCTCGTAACGGTCTCTCTCTCTCTCTCTCTGTAATATGTGGAGAGAGAAAATCTGAAGGTATTATTTTGTGTCTCGTAACACTTATTTAAAACTGTTTCCAATTTTAAATCTAAACATTTTTTAACTTACGAGTGACGAAAAAAAAACCGATTCTAATACCAAAATCTAGAGAATTAAAAACATCATTATTTTCTTATAAACTAAATCACTTGCTGCTGATTTTTTTCCTCGATGATAATCCAATTCACTAATATGTCGATTTACTGAATCGCCTAGTAACTCATTCGTTGACATACATCATTTTCCATCTTGGCCGGAAAAGTGGCCGATCGGTTAGAGTGAGTGACAGCAAAGCCAATGGCTGCGAAGTCGAACCCCGCTCTGGGTATGGATGTTTCTCGCTATGTGTTGTCCTCTGATGTGTGTAATGTGTGAATGTGGCCCACCCTAGGAAGAAGAATGTTTCATTCTTTTTTTCAAGGTTCAAAAGGGAAATGTTTCTCAAATGAAGAAAGATTGTTTTTAAAGATTTTATCGTTCGGAAGAGACAGAAGAGGAGAGAAGAACCACCTTAAAGGAAAGAAAAATGGTCAGCTTTTTGATGTTGGAGAGAATTCCCTTTTGAAGGTATATTAATATTTTTTTATAGATTTTGCTCTAAAAATAGATTATTTCATCTCAGATCATGTTTAACGCAAAGTATGTTTTTTTTGCTCTAAAAATAGATTATTTCATCTTATATAATGTTTAACGCAAAGTATGTTTTATTCTTTTATTCAAGGTTCAAAAGGGAATTGCTTCTCCAATGAAGAAAGATTGTCATTGAAGATTTTATCGTGTGGAAGAGATGGAAGAGGAGAGAAGATCCACCATAAAGGAAAGAAAAATGGCAAGTTTTCTGATGTTGGAGAGAATTCCCTTTTGAACGTATATTAATATTTTTTTATAGATTTTGCTCAAAAAATAGATTATTTCATCTTAGATCATGTTTAACGCAAAGTATGTTTTATTCTTTTATTCAAGGTTCAAAAGGGAATTGCTTCTCCAATGAAGAAAGATTGTCATGGAAGATTTTATCGTTTGGAAGAGATGGAAGAGGAGAGAAGATCCACCGTAAAGGAAAGAAAAATGGCAAGCTTTCTGATGTTGGAGAAAATTCCCTTTTGAAGGTATATTAATATTTTTTTATAGATTTTGCTCTAAAAATAGATTATTTCATGTTAGATCATGTTTAACACAAAGTATGTTTTAATCTTTTATTCAAGGTTCAAAAGGGAATTGCTTCTCCAATGAAGAAAGATTGTCATGGAAGATTTTATCGTGTGGAAGAGATGGAAGAGGAGAGAAGATCCACGATAAAGGAAAGGAAAATGGCAAGCTTTCTGATGTTGGAGAGTATTCCCTTTTGAAGGTATATTAATTTTTTTTTTACAGATTTTGCTCAAAAAATAGATTATTTCATCTTAGATCATGTTTAACGCAAAGTATGTTTTATTCTTTTATTCAAGGTTCAAAAGGGAATTGCTTCTCCAATGAAGAAAGATTGTCATGGAAGATTTTATCGTTTGGAAGAGATGGAAGAGGAGAGAAGATCCACCGTAAAGGAAAGAAAAATGGCAAGCTTTCTGATGTTGGAGAGAATTCCCTTTTGAAGGTATATTAATATTTTTTTATAGATTTTGCTCAAAAAATAGATTATTTCATCTTAGATCATGTTTAACGCAAAGTATGTTTTATTCTTTTATTCAAGGTTCAAAAGGGAATTGCTTCTCCAATGAAGAAAGATTGTCATGGAAGATTTTATCGTTTGGAAGAGATGGAAGAGGAGAGAAGATCCACCGTAAAGGAAAGAAAAATGGCAAGCTTTCTGATGTTGGAGAGAATTCCCTTTTGAAGGTATATTAATATTTTTTTATAGATTTTGCTCTAAAAATAGATTATTTCATCTTAGATCATGTTTAACGCAAAGTATGTTTTATTCTTTTATTCAAGGTTCAAAAGGGAATTGCTTCTCCAATGAAGAAAGATTGTCATGGAAGATTTTATCGTTTGGAAGAGATGGAAGAGGAGAGAAGATCCACCGTAAAGGAAAGAAAAATGGCAAGCTTTCTGATGTTGGAGAGAATTCCCTTTTGAAGGTATATTAATATTTTTTTATAGATTTTGCTCTAAAAATAAATTATTTCATCTTAGATTATGTTTAACGCAAAGTATGTTTTATTCTTTTATTCAAGGTTCAAAAGGGAATTGCTTCTCTAATGAAGAAAGATTGTCATGGAAGATTTTATCGTTTGGAAGAGATGGAAGAGGAGAGAAGATCCACCGTAAAGGAAAGAAAAATGGCAAGCTTTCTGATGTTGGAGAGAATTCCCTTTTGAAGGTATATTAATATTTTTTTATAGATTTTGCTCTAAAAATAAATTATTTCATCTTAGATTATGTTTAAAGCAAAGTATGTTTTATTCTTTTATTCAAGGATCAAAAGGGAATTGCTTCTCTAATGAAGAAAGATTGTCATGGAAGATTTTATCGTTTGGAAGAGATGGAAGAGAAGAGAAGATCCACCGTAAAAGAAAGAAAAATGGCAAGCTTTCTGATGTGGGAGAGAATTCCGTTTTGAAGGTATATTAATATTTTTTTTATAGATTTTGCTCTAAAAATAAATTATTTCATCTTAGATCATGTTTAACGCAAAGTATGTTTTATTCTTTTATTCAAGGTTTAAAAGGGAATTGCTTCGGCAATGAAGAAAGATTGTCATGGAAGATTTTATCGTATGGAAGAGATGGAAGAGGAGAGAAGATCCGCTGTAAAGGAAAGAAAAATGGCAAGCTTTCTGATGTTGGAGAGAATTTCCTTTTGGAGGTATATTAATATTTTTTTTATAGATTTTGCTCTAAAAATAGATTATTTCATCTTAGATCACGTTTAACGCGAAGTATGTTTTATTTTTTTATTCAAGGTTCAAAAGGGAAATGCTTCTCCAATGAAGAAAGATTGTTATGGAAGATATTATCGTTTGGAAGAGTAGGCTATTTTTTTTTTAATTTCACCGAGTATCTGGACCTTTTACATCTTTAATAACAATTATCTGGTACTCTCTCCAAATGTGAACAAGTCGAGAATCATGGTTTATACTGAAATGAAATTTATCATTTAATATGATATAGGCTGTTTGCTAGCCATAAATACACTAACCTACCAACAAGTACTAGTACTTGCAAAACAACGACGGTACAAATCTACACCGATGGCTCCAAAACAGACAATGGTGTGGGAGCTTCATTCTGTGTTTACCACAACAACCAACATACAGATACATACAAATTTACGTTAAAACAAGAAAACACAGTGTTTCAAGCAGAGGTTTTAGCCATCAAAGAAGCCATCAATTGGTTAGAGACACACAGCTGCAAAGATGCAACAATTTTCACAGATAGTCTGGCTAGTATACACGCTATTAGAAAAACGAAACAAAAAGACCCACACGTGGCAACAACACAAAGACAACTAGAACACCTAGTCAAAAAATGCAACACACAAATACACTGGGTGG